CGTATACGTTCACACACACTAGGCATCCACGCATACTTAGACCTGCAGCTCTGGAAACAGTTCCTGTCTAGGGCCTCGGGCTGACGCCACTTGGGCTAGTGCACGTGTGCTGAAGCCACCCTCCAAGCATAGGGACGCACTGGTGGCAGTCGCTAGACCCTCCCTCACCCCAGCCAGGCGTGCGGCTGGTGGCCGGGACTCCATCAAGCCAGCCAGATGGACTTCAAAGAAGAGCAGAGGCTCGCTGTCGGACGGACCTCGGCCTTCCGACTATGCCCCTACTCCCTGGCTGATTCCACCTGAGAACTACTCAATGGTTCCTTTTCTCCTGGGGCGCCAATGAAAGCTTGAGAAATCTCTGAGGAGGATCTCTCTGGGAAGACAAACGAGACAATGCTAACCATGTAACCTCGGGAATAAGGGTCCAGGAAGGGTGTGTGGAGAGGTGGTTGGGGTGGGGGTGGTTCTTTCCCTTGGACATCCTTTTACCCCAGCCAAGAGCTTTTGTCTTCTTTTCAAAAGCATAGATACTGAAAAAGACATCTTTGCATAGCCAGCTCAAGCCTCCAGGTGTTTACCCAGGTATAGCTGCCAAGTGATAACCTAGCCCAGTGGAGCCCCAGGCTGCACCTTTCTCTCTTGGACGGTGACCAGCCCCCAGATTTTAACTCTCACCCCAGGGGGAGAGGGAAATGCATGAGTAAAGAGCCAAATGAAGCTGAGTAAGAGTACAAGGTTTCTTTTGGGGCAATGATGAAAATGTTCCAGAATTACATTATGGTGATGGTTGACACTTATTTAAGTATACTAAAAACCATTGAATTGTACATTTCAAATGGGTGAACTTTACGGTACATAAATTATACAATTTTTAAAAGTTGAAACCCTCGGTAACTGACAACCGGGTCTTAGTGAAAAGCTTGGAAAGAGTCCCTTTGTGGCACAAAAATGTGATGAATGTGTTCCTGACACTCCCAAAGGTGTGCCGGTAGTAGGATGCAACTATGGTGAGAAGGCCAGAAGGGGAGTTTAGGCACAAATGAGAAGGAAAGTGGGCAAGTTGGGGCTGGTCCCTTGGCTGTAATGAAAACTGTTTCTAACCCAGTAAGATTGAGACAAGTTAATTAGGGCACGGGAGGTGTTTTCACTTTTATTTTTTTCTTACAAACCTTATAACTCACCCAACTCTAGAGCTCATGGCTTGCTGACTTGTCAGAATAGCACCCCTCTCTAGTCTTATTCTATTTTTTCTTACTTTCTATTCCCACTTTCATTCCTCTGTCTAATCGTAGACACCTCCTCTGTTTATTTTTGCAGTTTTACTTTCAAATATATAGTGTGAAAATATGCATGGTTTAAATTTATACAAATGATAAAACACAAAGAGGTATCATTCTGTTTTTCCTTGCTTGGAATTGTTGACATCTATCCATTGCAACTGTATACAAATCTATCAGAAATAGATTAACCATTCATTCTGGTTTACTTATCTGTAAATTACCTGTCCAATCCTTGTCCATCTTTCTCCTGGGCTACTTGTCTTTTTCTTGTTGATTTCCAGGAGTTTCTTGTATTCTAGATAATCCTTGTGGGCTTAAATGTTGCAAATATTTCACACTAGTCAACTAACCTTTTCTCAGATTAGCAAAACTTTAATTTTTCAATCAATTTGAAAAGCTTCTATGGCAATAATCTCAAATTTATAGAAAAGTTGCACAAATAGGAACTTACAAAGAACACTCATACACCCTTTACCCAGATTTACCTATCATTAACATTTTACCTCATTTATCATTTGTAAACCTATCTTTATATATATATTTTATCCTCAGTCGCTTTGCGAGTAAGTTGCATACATATACACGGCCCTTTACACCTAAATACTTCGACATGTATTTCCTAAAGATATTCTTACACACATTACTTATCAACTTCAGTAAATATAACGTGGATACAATAATTTTACCTAATTGGCCGCCAGCTTCTCCACTGCAGGGATACTACTTTTCTCTTGCAATTTATAAGCAATCTGTGGGGAAGCATTTTTAAGGCCATGCAAATATCCTACTCGTCAAAACTTCTCCCTAGGTTTAGCATCCATTGATAGTTCTTGTTTGATCCACTCCCCTATGCTTACAAAATAGTATCTATCAATTTTCACCTTATGCTTATGGTTTGTGCTTTAAGAGGTCTTGGTTTTTTTGTTTTTAGATACAGATATAAAAGGTCAAATTATAGGATGTTTATTGCAGTCCGTCAATCTTGGTGGAGATGGAAGCCAAGGGGTTAAGGGATCAACTCAAATTGTAGTTAGAAGGAAATAACAAGGATCAAAGAGGTCCTGTTTAATACATACTTCCCTAGTCACAAGATGGTCTATATTTTCCTCCATTAGTTTATAGATTTACCTTTACTCTTAGGCAATTTATTTTCTGTATATAGTGTGATAGGCCTCCATACTTACTTTTCTCTGTAAAGTGTAATAGTTTGCCCAGCACCATGTATTAAATGATCTATCCTTTCTCCAATGATTTTGAAACACTTATCATATATCAAATTCCCATCTGTACAGGGGCTTGATTCTGAGCTCTTTATTCTGATCTTTCTGTCTGTTACTGCACCTACTATTTATTACTATGGCTTATGGTGTGAACATCTCATGGAGAGTTCTTTGCTTTTTTAGAACTGCCTTAGAAATTCATCATTTCCATATGAACTTATTTAGAATCAGTTTTCCTACCCACCTCCCCAATACTGCTGGAATATTAATTGGAATTATATTGAATTCAGAGATTAATTTGGGGGAAAATTACTATTTTAATGATACACTATTTATGAGCACAATGTCTTTCTATTTAAGCCATTTGTTTTTTAAAAAAATGACATTAGCTTGCTGGGCTTTTTCCATTACGTGAACTTCCTAAAAGTCGTTAGTTGAATGGCGTCTTAAAATCTGTTGTACCATCTAGTTGTTACTCTAGTGGAGCAATTCTCAAATTTTGTCTCAGAGCCCCTTTGCAGCAAGGGGTTGGCAAACTACAACTCATGGGTCAAATGTGGCCCACCAACTATTTCTAATAAACTTTTACTGGAATATAGCCACACTCACTTGTTTACACGTTGTCTTTGGCTGCTTTTGTGCTACAATGGCAGAGTTGAGTAGTTGTCAGAGACCACGTGGCTTACAAAGCTTAAAATATTTACTATCTGGTCCTTTAGTAAAAGTTCACCAAACTCTACTTACACCTAAAACTGAGACTCCCAAAGAACTTTGGTAACTCCTAATGGTGGTGGATGTTAAGTTTTCCAAAACTTAATTTTTAGTTGAAAGCACACAGGTAATGGCAACAAACACTGTCAGTTTATCTTGAGAAGACAAACTCACCTGTGAGTTTTATCTATGAATATTGATATATTAGAATTAAAACAAAATTTGCTAATTTAATAAAACATAAATAACTCACATTCAATGAAAAGTAACAAAACCCCCCAAGTTTGAGAAGAGTGGCACTGTTTCACATTTTTGCAAATCTCTTTACTGCCTGGCTTAATAGAAAGTAAGAGTCTCATGTCTGCTTTTGTATTCAATGTGTTGCCATGTTTTGGTTAAAGCACACGAAGAAAATATGACCTCGGGGGTATGTAGCTGGAAAAGGAAGAAATACTTTCATAGCCTTTTCAGGTACCATGTATGTTCTTTGATACTACACCCAATCTGACAAATGGTAATTTCTTAAAGGTCAGTTGCAATGTGCAATCTAACACTGAATCAGTGATCTTTTCATACTAGTACATTAAAACCCACTGATCATTTAGAAAATACTGGTTGACTCAGCGACAAAGATCTTCCAAATGTCAACACATTTCATTCTACAGTATTAAAAAGTCACACTCATTACTACCATCACGGATCTCTTCAGAAGTCTTTACTGCTAAGCTGTCAAGCTAATAGAGGCAGTAAGTTTTCCAAAACTCTTAATTTTCACTTGTAAGTTCAAATTTTATCACCTCCAACAAATACTGTCAGTTGTTTGCCCTGAAGGGACAGGCTCATTTTATTCATTTTTGAGAAAATGTTGACCACAAACCCCAGTTTGAATAGCCAGTTTGTCAGTTGTTCCTTCAAGTAAAAATGGTATTCCATGAAAAATGATTGCCAGCTTGCAACTCAAATAATCACGAGTGTTTCTCCCTGAAATAACCGTGGTTCTTCACAGCATGGAGGAGTGCTTTATGTAGCACTTCTACTTTGTTATATGAAATATTTAAAAGATGTGTACTCAAGAGTTGGATTTAGTAAGATTAATTTTTTTTAACTGCTTGTCAGGACATTCTTAAATCAAATTTGCTGTTTAAAAGAAACTTGAGTTTCTTTGTTTGCTTTTGGCAGATAAAACTATGAAGTTGGGAAAATCCCAATTATTCTTAGATTTTTAAGATATTTAAAATCATAAATACGTATTGAACTTTTATCAAATTTGCAAAAATCCAAATAATTCTATACCTGACAGTCCAGTGGATCAAATCAGCAATGAGACTTTACTCAGGTTTTGTCCCCATGTATTGATCTGCCGTTATCAGGTTGTGAACTGAACAAAGCCTGGATTGGAACAGGAAAGACTGGCTTTTTAAAAGTGAGCAAATTGACCAGAGGATAAGTATCTACTTTACCCATGTCCTTGCACAGTATAAAATAAGGTCCACTGAATGGGATTCTGGCAATTTGAGATCATTCTGGGCAACTGATTTACCATTAGAAAATGTTGTCTTTTGCACAGGTTTGTAACAAATTCACTTGCCCAGAAAATGCAACCCTGTTATCTGGAGTCTGACCAAATGGATTCATTCAAATCAAACAACAAAAAACATAAAAATAAAAAACATATAGTATACATTTCCCTCATATAATTTTTTTAAAAATCAAGTTTTCAGAAAAGAATTATCATGAACAAAAATTTAGTTAGAATTGTCAGTTTGAAAAGAATCAACTGCATACACTGTTGAAAGTTATTTCATATTTTATTTTCTAATTGCAATAGTTTGCATCTGACTTCTTTACATAATTCCAAATGAGACAGGAAACCTCAGTACTAAGCAGCTGTTATGAATCTACAGTAAAAGGACTCATTAAAGGCTTAAGAATGGAATATGACTAGAGCCATCAATGTCAGTAACTATAAACTTCTCTAAAGAAATACAGAGCAAGTTGGTATTTTGCAAAATATCTTTAAGCAATTTAGAGACCTGCATCTGTTAGTCTTATGCTGAATTAGATGAGGGTGGTAGCAATTATTTTAAATACTGTGTCGACACGAATATACAAATATATATTCTACATGTTTCTTTTACTATACGAACCAAAGACTGAAAGTAAAAGAAATGGTAAGTAGAGAATATAAAAGATGTGCATATTCTATCTTACACAGTCCTGAATATCAAGTGAACAGCGGCAGACTGTTCTAAGCGCACTACACGTATGAACACATACATTACTAATCCTCCCAACAATTGATTCTGCAGGTACTATTCTTACCATCTCCATTTTATAGGTGAGGAGCCTGAAGCTCAGACAAGTTGGAGAAGGTGCCCATGATCACCTGCAGGTAAGGGGCAGAGTGAGGGCGGGGGCACAGACTGCCTGACCCAGGGCCACGCTCTTCCCTCTCCATCACGCTGCCTCCTAAGCACTAGGCGGCTGGGGGAGAGAGGACATAGTCCAGTATGCTCTCCCAACCCCTCAGCTCGCTCCGTACCTCAGAGGCTAGTGTCATCACACTTACAGTAGGACTTAATTCAGATTCTGTTCTTTTCTGAGTAGGAAGAAGCAAGGATAAAAAGGATGGTAGTTTAAGGTAAATTGAAAAAAACACCAAGTGGTATGTAAAAGTTCATGGGAGTCCAAAGAGTATAAACGAAACTTCCCTTTACTAAGCAGGATAGAGATCTAAACATCTCATAACAATAGAAATCTTTTAAATCTTTGTGACAGGCAGGTAACATAAAAAACTTAACCTTCCTTCTGATAGTTTCACTGTCAAGCCAGTTAATACTGAATATTGTTAAATCTGTACACAATACAAATAAAATATAAATCCAGCTAGGTATTTGATCAGAAACATGCTTTTTACCTATCTGCACTGAGGTCAATACTGACAGCAGTTTATACCTATTAAAAGATGTTATGCAGCATCCTACACTTTAGTATTTACACAAGAGAGATGAGATTAAGTTAAACTACAAGTCACAAGGAGTTTTTACAGCCAAATTCCATAGATCTGGTGAGAAAACCAATGGCCACTCCTTAATAAAATATAAGAATTTTCATTGTGCACAGTTTTTAGGCTCCTTAAGAGGTGGTCTCTTTAAGAGGCTGGATGTTCAAGAAAGATTCAACAAACAACTCAATCTTGGCAAGTCTTTTTACACAAACACTTGGTTTGGTTATTTAGCCACCTCAGTAATACAACGTATTTATACGCAAACTGGAAGTGGAATAAACTGCACAAAAAATGCAAGTCCATCAAACTCATTAGTAATAACTATTACACCCTCTCAGCAGTAAGAATCATCATTTCTGGATTTCAAACATTTTATTTTCTTTTCAGGGCACACTGTATAGCACTGTATTATAGGAACCAAAAAGTATAACAAAAAATTTTTTCAAGGACCACTTCCGTTCATTTGCAATATAATAAAATCAATGGAACTATATAATTTCCACATTAAAGATAAGTTAGTAAAATAATTCCTCCAAGTAGTGTTGCATATGACCTATAAGTTTATTCCAACTACTTTAATCATTATGATTTGAGATTTTCCAGGGTACAACAGCACCAGATTGGGCTGTTACTACCTAGGCAAGGAATAAAAACAAAAACAAAAAAACCCCACACAAACCAACCCCCCACCCCAAAACTGGCGAACACATAAATTGGGGTCATAGTTGCAGTTCTTAAAGACTCTTTAGACAAATCATATTTGTTAGAGGAAGCCAGCAGAAAACCTAATGTCTGAGTTGCACCATCCCTACCGTGAACTGTATCAGATGCAGTCAAAACATTCTTGGTAAAATAATGTGGAGGAAAGATGTACATATACCACAAATTTTGCAAAAGTATTTTGAAGCCTAAGTGTACAGAAGCCTAAATATCTCAGGTGGTTTAGATTACTGATGAAAACAATCACTACATTAATTCTTCAAGGCTGGTTCTTTACAGGTATTAAAAACCAGCCCATGGTCTCAGATGCACCCCACCTAGGTTAAGCGTTCAGGAACGCCAGATAATAAGAAACATGAACTGCAACTGTCCACTCTTAATTTCTAGTCTTTAAGAATGTTTTATAGTACCTCAGATTTTTATTCAGGAGTCTGCACATTTAGGAAAGGAAATTATACTAAGCGTGGGATCAGAGAAGATATGCTTATATTCTGAAGCCACGTGAAGGTTTACTCCTCTTTTTATTATTTTTCAACACTGAAAAGTTCTCTGGAGACCAGTAGAATAAAAGCTTTACATACTACACGAAGGATTTCTTCTTTTACATTTTATGATTTCAATATGGCTAGTGAGGTCTAACTAGTCCAGTCCCTAATTTCACCTTACTAGAGTTGATAATGAAAAACTAAGTAAGAAAGGGTAAATCTAAATTCCCAATAAAATATAAGCAAAAAAATCTGTACACATGATAAAATACATCCTAAACACAAAGTAAGGGTATAATATACTCTGCAGCATCACTATGTCTTTATTATATTTCTCTGCTGTATGCAGTTCTTCCATTCACAAATTGGAGACCATCTTTTCATTAAGTTGTTATTTCCTCCTCTTCCCCCAGCTTAGGGATACTTTGAAAAAGGTTTAATTTGTACAAGCTGTTATGAAATTAAATTTTCATTTACACATAATTTAAGTGTCTATAAGCACTCAAAATTGTAGCTTACATGTATATGACTTCTGAAAATAAAATGACACTTTTAACTTAATCTTTTTGTTCTGTAAAAATATTCTACATACATGCACATGATCAAAATAATCTTCTGTTGTTTGGGAAATTTCCTATGCACAGTAAGTTAAAAAAAAAAAGACAACTATATCAGCATTTCCAACGTTAAGATTACTGGGTGCCACCTAGTGTTTGATTTCTGCAACTACTAATCTTACAAATTCAAAATTGCTATTAAAACTCAGGTTATAAAAACTGCATTTTGGAAACGTTTTTTTTAGTTGACATGTTTACAGTGGCAAAATAAGATCATGAAAAGAATGTACGTGATATCAAAATTAGTATAAAAATATCCACATGTTACTTAAATATGAAAAACAGACCATTTTTTACTTCAAATGCAGACTTCTGCCTCTCTTAAATTGTATCAAAATCTTAAGGGAACATCTAGGTAACTGGAATATACAGAAATTCACACTAGGGCTTAATTATAATCCATGATGAGTGTAGGGCAAATGGTTTATTCCAAACATTCATTTACTTAGTGGAAGTGGTCAAAATGGGAGAAATAGTAATGCTTTTTTTTTCTCTTTTTTAAAATAGTAGATGTGGTCTTTTACCCATAAGCTCCATTTCATCAAAAGAACAAAGTGGGTTTAACATTTCACTTAAGAGAACTCAGCATTACCAGTTTTTAAAGAAATACGTTAGAAACAAATCAGTTTGCTTTAACAAATTGCACTCATGCTAATGAAATTTTAATCTTCTTTAACAGATCACAGCCAAAATCCAAATTATTCAGATATCCTCAGAGAAATTGGAATGTAAAATTTGGTTGAGTTCGATTTAGATCTGGAAGGAAAAAGAACATCAGATCAACAGAAAGAATTTTTATATTCCAACAGTCTACCACATATAAGGGAGACACACACCCCCTTTGGCTATCTGGAAAGCAAAACCAGTTTGAAGAGGAAATTCTGTACACTAGGTTTTTCTCAATTCCAGTCTGCTGCCAGTGAATCTTTATATCCTTCAGAATGTTACATGCTAGGCCCAGTTCTGAGGAAGCACTGGCACAGATTCAGAAATATTTTTCTTAGAAAAGTTCAACCCTATCCACATCTTCATCCTGTCACCTCTGTGCATGTGGCTTCATATTTAGGCGTGTTCTCTGATTAGATTCTTCATTTCCTAAAAAGGCCTTCTACCCCAGCCCAGTCGTCAGAATGTCTGGATTACCCCTTAATTACAACACAATAGCCCTGTTTCAGGTTCTTGTCACAGAGTATCATTGATAAATCTACTGTCAAAGTATTATTAACAGTTTAGTCACAAGAATCCTCTGGCTCAGGGGTCTCCAAAGGGAGGCACATTAAAAACAGAATGATGTATTTATTTCTTATCCTTTTTAATTTTCTATTTCAGGGTATGCTTTAAAATACAATATGCTAAAAAATTAATAAACGCATATACACACTGGGGACAGGTACTCACATTTTCTTTAATTCATGGTGTATTCTAAATGGTTTGGAGATGCATCAAAATATAAGATGGACTGATAGATGAATAAAGGGCTAGATAGATACGTGATAAACCAAGTACAGAAATACGTTAATTGTAGAATCCTGGTGCTAAGTATCACTTGTGATGCGTAACTCAGACCTCTCCAAGACAGGCCTTGTATTTTTGAAAAGTTCTGTTGCACAATTATGGTCGGGAACAACTGTTCCATGTATACTAATATGTCACCTTTGAATCAGATCAAACATTAGTATTCTATTTTTAGATTTATATACACAGGTCGTTTCTAAACTACATTTTTATTTAAAGGGGTTGAAAAGAAGAGCCCAAACCAGACTTTAGAGTAACTTAAATCACCCCAATTATTAAAATAAAAACACCAGCTCCAAACCAAGAGTTTGCCAACAGTGCCTATCTAACAGATAAAATAATGTAATTGGCAAAAGGCCTAAATTTTAACAAGGACTTTAATGTTGTTTGTAATCCCAATGCTTCATATCAAACCGATTCAAGTAAGACTATTCTCTTGACATACAAGTGCTTCAGATAAGAGAATGCATGTGTGTACAACACAGGGAATAGAGCCAATATTTTATAATAACTAGAGAGTATAACTTTTAAAAATTGTGAATCACTATGTTGTACATCAACTATTATCAACAAATATGATATATATGTCACAAAATATTTCAGTTTAAACAAAGGGGCATGGTTCTTTGATAAGACCTTGTATTTCTCACAATTGTCTGCTAAATTTCTTAATAGCAATCTCTCTACACATTTTTAATTAAACAAGTTATGATTCCAATGCCTAGCATTCATACTGCCAAAGCAAATTTTGATCTTTTCAGGAAGAAATATTTAAAAAGATTATAAGAATTCTCAAAGTATAAACAGTCTTCTAAATACTACTGTGTATTTAGTTCATGGACAAGTCTCAAAATGCACCCTTATTGAAGTGTTCAACATTCTTGAATTAAAGGAAGAGAGGGGAAAGAGCTGGTTTCTCTGTGAATAATTCAGAAAGTTGAAAAATCCAAGGTGCATCTACTTACATCATCAATGTCTTCATCATCATCTCCAATGTCATCAAACTGGATTTCATCATCATCTCCAGGGCCAAATGTATCAGTTTCATTGATTTTAGCTAAAGAAACAATAACAAATATATAATATAACCAAGATGATATTAAAATGAATAAACTGCCCACTAAAAGTAGTTGGATATCAAATATTCAACTATAAAAGGAGCCTCTTAAAAGCCCAACTTTAATCTACATTTCATTACCAAAAAGATCCTCATAACTTCTACCTAACAACCCCAGTATATAGAACAATATTTTATACAACAAAATCTGAATCAAGATGGAAATAGTTTTTTTGTTCACAAAGGTATTTCTAGTAAGACAGGTTTTAAATACACAAATTCTAAAGCTATTACAACTTCCAGCTATGCTTCAAAAAAGGTTTGAGCACATGCTAACAAGTAACAAATCATCAGATAAACTCATCAATCAGAAAAATTTGGTCAAATTCTATTTATCCCTAAACAATGAAAATGAACCAGCAAGTGCTAGTCCTAGTCCCAGATAAATTAGCAGCATTTCCTAGCTTGGAAGTGCCAAGTAATTAACTTCAGCAGGATTTTTACACTCAAGTAAAATTATAGTTCTCACGATAACATGCAACAGAACTAAAAAAAAAAAAAAAACTGTCAAATGAAAAATGTAGGCTTTCAAAATAGTATGTAAAGTATACTTCCCCCTTGATGAGGTTATGAGAGACTTTTTGTTGTTTATTTAGGTTTTCTGCATTAAGAATGCATAATTTTTGAAGTGTCGGGGGAAACAGGTAATGCTGGTTTAACAAAATCCTATGGGATACTATGATACTAGGACAAAATGAACTGAAAGCTGACTTTTTGTTGGGGGGGTAATTAGGTTTATTATTTATTTACTTATTTATTTAAGGGAAGTACTGGGGATTGAATCCAGGCTCTAGGGCATACTAGGCATGCACTCTACCACTGAGCTATACCGTTACCCCGAAAACTTTTTAATAAAAATATTGACAACAGTACCTAATTACTATCCTTGCTTTACGTTTAAAGCAGATGAACAGTGGGAGGATACAGCTCAAGTGGTAGAGTGCATGCTTAGCATGCACAAGTCCTGGGTTCAACCCCCAGTACTTCCTCTAAAAATAAATAAACCTAAAGTAGATGAACATAGAGTCTTTTTAGTATTATGAAGTACAGGCAGGCATACTTAGAATGAATTACATAAGCACAAAATTAAATATGCAAAATCCACTAATTCCTTCATCTAAATACCACCAGGTAATAACACCATATAATAGTTTAATACAATAACTCAGACATTACCATGTTCTGGAAGTTCGCCATATGCCTTCAGACTTCGAGCCTCATCTGCATTGTATTTTAAAATTACATCAGCTTTATTATCCTTAAAGAGACAAATAACTTTTATAAATGACTATGTCAAAATACGTCATTTCATAAATTATTTTCAAACTGGTAAGAAATTAAATCTCACTGTTGTGCTATAAACTTTTCTTCTTTTTCTAAAAATTTAGTTTTCACCTACCCTCTGAAAAACATACTTGGTTTTAACCCAGTATAAAGAAGCCTGCATACATAAATGGTCAACAAACTTTGGGAAGATATTTACAGATTTCACTTCAGTAAGAGCAGAACTGTGCAGACCCAATCTTCTAGATTGTTTATAGAACCATAATTTACAAGTGATTAAATATTCTAATTCCAAAACTGAGACTGGTATAATGACCTATAGAAATTATAACCTTTCCATGTATCAGTGGTTCTTAGGGTACAAATCCACCAGAATCTCCTGTGGAGCTTTTATACCTCCTAAAGATAGATTAGTCCTGACTCAGTTAAGAAAAAAGGGTTGAAGCTGATTATTTCAACCTCAAAAAGTTCTTTGGACTTGGAAAGCCCTAAAGGAACACAACGAAAGTGATAAGTGATCCAAGAGCATGGTGATTCAGACCAGCACTTCTTAAACTATAATGTGTGTATATATATATATATATATATATAGAGAGAGAGAGAGAGAGAGAGAGAGAGAGAGAGAGAGAGAGAGAGAGAGAGAGAGAGAGAGAGAGAGAGGAGGAGGAGGAAGGAGGAGGTAGGAGGTACGGTACGGTAACGGTAACGG